GGTTAAAATTATTTATTCTAAATAATCTTTTGCCGAAAAGTCGTTTTTGACCCATATTGCCTCTAAATTGACTTGCCCGGATCTACGGGCGTTACAGATAATCATTACCGTGATAGAAAAATCGAATTTTATCAGTCAAAACGACTTATGGTAATTATTTTTATCTAATTTAGGCTTAAAATTCGAAAATTGTGCAGTCAGACGAATCAACTTGTCGAGTCCCATATTGGACTCGTCGAGTTCATCTGGCAGAGTCCAGATTTCGACTGCTTTCAGCTTTGAACAATTAACCATGATATCAAATATAACAGAAAAACACCCTAAGTTCTGTTACCATTGATGGGTTTTGAGCACTACAACTTTCTTATGGTGTACATGCAATCCTAATGCTTTGGATCTAGGTTTTTCTCAAGTTATACATGCAATTCTAATCATCCAAAGCATGAACTCTATCTAGCATACAACTTTCGAGATTTATAACATAAAACAAAGTTGGGGAAAATGACATAAATGCCCAACAAACTTTCTAAGGTTGACCTTTTAAGTCCGTAAATTAATTTCGTGTCTTTATAGGGGCATAAGGTTAGAAGCAACCTATCTTTTTAGTCCTTCTAACCTATTGTAGCAGGTTTCAAGGATACATCGGCTATTTTCCATTTAAAAGTCAAAATCACATTTTGACTTTCTCAAAATTGATTTCCATTTTGTTCTTATTATATACAAATAAACCATAAACCTCATCTTAATACTTCCCGGGCAGCCGAATCTATCCCGTAATCACGATTCTTCTCAAAATCGATGCTTTTTTCGGAAGGTGAATGTGGACGCAGTTTGAAATGAAGGAGGGCATATCATGAAGGTGAATGTGGGAGAGTTTTAGATGGTGTCGTACGTCCCACCAATGGCATCACATATTTTTAACCTGCTCCGTCCAACAACTGGAGACTAAAGACGAAATATAGTGGTTTGCTCGATCCGGTGGTTATGATTTTGGAATAAGGATTTGGTTTCAATATATTTACTGTCTCGATTTTGGGTTTTGATTGGTTAAAAGGTAGGGTTTCGATTTTGAATTTTTTTTGTTTGGATATTGTGTTACGGTGTCGTTTTGTTGGTAGCTTCATCATCATCACTTCTCTAACATTTATAGGTTCCACCCACGAATCCAAGTTTCTACATCGTGGCTCTATCACACATCTTCTCAAATCAAAATCTTTGCAATTGGTAATGTTTGAGTGATAATGAACACATAAATTTGAATAATGAGGAATAATAAATTAGTGTTTTGGAAGGTGGGTTCAGACTGCAACAAAGTTGAAGAAGACTAGTTTTACATTAAAAAAATCATTGAACAACAGTGGTGGGTTGAATCAAGATAACCCCACTACCACCAAGTCAAAGAAGTGCAGGGGGTATAAGCTGCTAATGCATGAGGTACAACTTACAAGTCTATTGGATTCTCCTCCCATACACAGAAACACGTGACGGAAGACGACGTTGTTGTTATCATCTGTTGGACGTAAAATGATGCCGACAAACTCCATATCCAATGAAACAAAAGCATAATCATCAATGAAGGATGAAATTATACCAAACTCGTGTTCGAGGTTATCAGCATTCATAATTCGCATGAAAACCGGTAGCGTAGGAGACGAGAAGTTGTCGATCGACATTAGAACGGTAGTAAGAAGGCTCTCTGTTGGACAATTTAGAAATGGGAAAAAGTGGGGCGAAGAAGATGAATAGTACTGGGTTAAGGAATAATTGGTCAACAAACATCTGATGTGGCAAATGGGTAACCGGATGACCCCTTCATTTTGCTCAAAAGGACCTAATCGACCCGTCAAAGTGTAATTCGTTCCCTTATAAAGCCACAAAATAAGTTAAGTGGCTAAATGGGAAACCTTAGAAACATAATAGGGTATATATGTCATTTTCACAAACAAAGTTAGATGAATACATTTTCCTTGTAGCTTGTAGATTTTAACCTTCAAGAATGTAGTGTCTCAATTATTGCACCTTTAGTGAGTCACAAACACCAAGTAGCAATTGGAAGAATATGAGAGATGTTGAGAAGCTCTAAAAATCGGCTAAGGTTCTTTGCTTGGAAGCATTGGCCGATTTTAGGGATCTAAGGGGTTCCTTATATAGCTGAGCTACTAGGGTTTCAGGTAAAACCCTAATTTGATTGGTTAAGCCTTAAGCAGTCCAATAGATCCTTCTAGAAGTCCCCATTGGACGAAATCTATGTGGACTACACATAGAATTTCGTCCACCCCTTCCTAGGGATCCATAAGTCTAACTTGTAACTATTATATAATTATAATATCAATCCCCTATAATTTAATTAATCTTTTTTTATCACCAAATTAATTTCTGATCAATACTAATTAAATAATATGGTTTCTGAATTAATATATTATTCTTATAATATATAAATCACAATTAACCTCTTTCTCCATAATTCATCTATCAAATTGCTATGATGAAGGCAATCCAAAAGGACCATACTACTATTAAGTTTAGGTCAAGTACATTACCAATTGCATAGTATATAACCTTAGCAAACATAAACGAAAGATGGGGAACAAATGACATCGTTCGCAATCATTTTCCAAGAAACTTTCTCTATAAAAAACAATAGAAATAATGGCCATAGGCAAAAATAATAATAATAAATAAATAAATAATAATTTTAGTTTTGCAATTTATCAAAAAGACAAATGATTATGATTTTTATGGGCTGGATCAATGCAACTCTAAGTCTCTAATTTCTCTGGTATTAGTTGGACTGCATGAGGTACAAGTGTAAGAAGGTCTCACGATATTTCAATGTCTTGGCCATGTTTTTTATCCTTGTGGAAATCATTATAAACTTAATCTTTTTCCACATGATTAAACTTACTTATATCACAAAGTTCTCACAATTAGATTCATGGCCAATGCTTGTTTTCACATGTAACTTCATGGTCTCAAACACGGATCATCTCCCACCCCGGCTCCACTGAAATGTAATATATTGTGCATACTCCATATAAGATAGAATGAGTGAAACCATTTTTAAGAACTTAAAAAATATGGAGAACTTGTATAAAGAGAAGTGTAAGAAGATATATTGGTTAAGGCCAGCATTCATTCATCACAACCATGTTAAAGCAACTCATAAACATTGGCTTATGGTCGTGGCATTTGCTTTTATTTTTGTCTTCTTCATAGCTGCATTTTGGTTAGACCTTGTAAGTATCCTTAAACTCGACTACCTTCAATAAGAAGATACATATTTGTATTTTGGCTTGTAAGATAATGAACATGCATACAATAGTGTTTTTTTTTAATAGAAGTTCATCCCAGCGCTGAATTAATCCAATTTTGGAATGTTTAAATCACTAATGATCATCATTAGACCACCTTAATAGTGGTTGCATAATGTAGTTACATTTTAGATATTTGGCAAGGATTTAAAGCCTCGTCAAAATGGTCAATAGAAATACATACATAAAAAATACTTTGAGATATCTAATTTTTTTTAACTTAAAAAATGTAAAAATACCATATATATCTATATATTGGCTGAAGAAAAAATTTTAAAAAATGATTTTTAATTTTTTTTTTATGTGATTTTTATGTTTCCAAATATATATATATATATATATATATATATATATATATATATATATATATATATAGAAGTAAGTTCATGCGAAAATATAAATATTCTGCGAAAACGCGAAAACAGATTTTATATTATGAAAATTAAACACATGTACTACAAAAAAATAATTTTATTAGCAATAAATTAAAGATAGTAAGTTTACATTGGATGGTGTTATGGTAATATAGATTTAAAGACGGTTTTTATAATTATATTTTTTTCACGTCCTTAATCATTTTTAAATTCATGTTTTCATAATAAAAATGTTAAAAATCATACTTTGGTAATATGAAACAGTTTATCATCTATCATCGATTATCATCATGTATTTCAAATTTTGGATGAATTATTTTCCAAAATATAATGTTGAGGTGACATAATATCATAGGTTTTTCTTGTTTTCGCGTTTTCGCAAATTATTTGCATTTTCGCATGAACCCTTCCCTATATATATATATATATATATATATATATATATATATATATATATATATATATATATATATATATATATATATATATATATATATATCATTCGGTTGGCTTCCACTTTTAAGTTTCACATGCTTCTTCGTATATTCACGTGTATCTCACGTGATTTTTAAAATGCTTTGTAAATATTAAAAACTGAACAATGTCTAAAAACGTGATATGTCTGTGTTTTGGTTACATTTTCATCCAAATTTTCACTTAATTGTAATTAGTGCTTGTTTCCACATGTGACTCCATATGGCCACAAACATGCCCCCCCCCCCCCCCCCCTCCCTCCCTGTCACCCACCCACAGACACCCAAAAAAAATAGGAAAAAGAAAAACACTCCATCTAAAAACGTGATACATTGCGCATTTATAGACAAATAACATATTCAACAACTTTATTAGCAATATGAAGAACTTATATACAGGCCAAGACCAAAAACTGGTCGTTGTCGGAATCATGCTGTATGAGTTTGTATTTTGTGGCTCATTATTCTGACCTTTGTTTGCTTAATCATATACTTGTTGATTGTGTCTTGGTCAGACATATAGTAAGTCTCTTAATTAACTTTTTAATGAAAATAAAATTATTTTTAAACCTATATCGTAAAATTGACTGCTCTGTAAATGCAAAAGTAGTCATCATCCATTACACTTAGATATATTAAATGGAAAACTAAACCATAGTTAAAATTTTGCAGTCAACACAATGAACACATGGTAACAACCAAACTTTAAATAAACATATAATTTATATAAGTCCTTTTGGCAACTAATTGTTGATCACATATCACATATAGTTATATCTTCTATGCAAATAATGTATTTAGTAGTTTAATGTGTTGATCTAACTTGTACATGTATGTAGTCTATGTTTTCAGGTCGATCAATCCTGCAAATTAAAATAACCAAAGAAGAACATGACTTCCCTCTTGATTGTCGTAGATGGAATCAAACACCAACATGTCCAAAAAACTATCCAACAACGCATAAAAATCTAGACCATTCGTTGAACAAGACATGTCCGGATTACTTTCGATGGATCCACGAAGATCTACGACACTGGAGAGGGACAGGGATCACAAGAGACATGGTGGAGAGAGCAAAGTGGAATGCACATTTCAGACTAGTAATCCTTGATGGAAAAGCATATGTAGAAAGATTTAGAAAATCAATTCAAACTCGAGATTTGTTCACGCTATGGGGGTTTCAACAATTGTTAAGAAGGTACCCTGGCAGGGTTCCTGACCTTGAACTTATATTTGATTGTGATGATCGGCCGGTGTTTAATGCAAAACAATACTTTAGGAGGCCAAATCCTGGGCCTCCTCCATTGTTCAAGTATTGTTCTGATCCGTGGAGCTTGGATATCGTTTCACCCGATTGGTCCTTTTGGGGATGGTAATTATTCTCTCCAATAAATCTTTTTATTTATTTATTTAAATATTTGGGTGCTCTAAGTGACAATAATGGTTATGTCTTCCTTCATTCATAAACAACGATAACTGTAGTTGAAGGCCTAGTTTTGTTTTTTATGTGGATGATATTTTAACATGAAGGTGTTCATAGTTAAATCCCATATGATTTTAAGGTATATAATTATTTTTTTTCTTATATATAACAAAACCATCAAAATATATAAATTGTTTTCTGTATCTAATAAGTAATAACCACACCTTCCATTTTGCCAACTTTAGTTGAAACGTTTGCATTTTTCTCATCTTATAACAAAAAGAATTAAATCAATACATGAATCTAAATGAAACAAACTAATGGATCTAATTCAAATTTAAATCCAAAAAAACAAATGAATAATTTGATTGTACATTTGTATTGTAATAGGCCCGAGACAAACCAAAAGCCATGGGAAATTACATTGAAGGACATTAAAGAAGGAAACAAGAGGGTCAAATGGAACGAAAGGGTACCCTACGCGTATTGGAAGGGTAACCCTGGGGTGTCCCCTGTTAGGGGTGATCTTGTCAAGTGCAATGTTAACCAAACTTCTCATGTTGACTGGAATACTCGTTTATTTTTTCAGGTGCATTAACCTTCAGTTTGAACTTATAATATATTTTTAAATGTTAAGATGTGAGTAAATTTTCCGATAACTCTTTGGATGATAAACTTAAATAATTTTATTGGTGATTTAACACTTGGATAGAATTGGACCAATGAATCTGCAAATGGATACAAGCAGTCGAATATTGAAGATCAATGTACTTACAGGTAGAGAATAATTGTGAATATAAGATATATTTGAATGTAGAAAAACATAAAAATACATTTTCATTTAATTATTTGTGTATTATAACATCATATTTTATTACACTTCCTTGAAACTATTGATAAAATATTATTCAACACAATTTCATGAATAGGTATAAGATATATGTTGAAGGATGGGCATGGTCGGTTAGCGAGAAATACATATTGGCGTGTGACTCTCCAACATTATACATAACCCCGCATTACTACACATTCTTTTCAAGAGGGATGACACCCCTAGAACATTTTTGGCCTATTCGGGAAACTAATAAATGTAGATCTCTTAAATTTGGTGTCGAATGGGGCAACAATCACACTTCCAAGGTAAGTTCACATTTCACAAACATTTTTTTTATTGAAGTCTTGTTTGTTATGTAGGACAACACATGACATGACAATCTTGTATTTGTCCTGTGTTTCGTTTGTATTAAACTAAAAATGAGAATAACATGAATACATGATCAATGAGATGAAAGTTACATTTGTCCCAAACAAAATGGAGGAACAAGGACTAACTACTACTCTCTTATTTGTGTAAAAGATGTAAGTATCATTTCATTCTCAACTTTGAAAGTAATCCTATATATTGAGCTTGTCCAACTTCGTCCAATCATGTCGTGTATAACAAACATAACCTAAGGGTATGTGTTATGTGTTTTAATTTACGACCCTACTAGGCACAAGAGATGGGGAAGGCATCAAGCCGGTTCATTCAAGAGGATGTGAAGATGGAATATGTTTATGACTACATGTTACATTTATTGACGGAATACGCTAAGCTCTTGAAGTTCAAACCTATTATCCCTCCAAATGCAATGGAGCTATGTTCAGAGTCGATGGCGTGCTTTGCAGATGGAAAGTGGAAGGAGTTCATGGAAGAATCCCTCGTGCGCTACCCTTCGGATACAACTCCGTGTACTATGCCTCCACCCTATGATCCCTCCACCATTAAATATATCATTGACAACAACACAAGAGCAATAAAACAAGTTGAAATGTGGGAAGATGAATTTTGGAAGACTCACAACTTCAACAAATGACCAAATCTTGTAGTATTCAGTGGTAAAATTGCTTCGGGTTCTAGTAGCATCGATACTTTACATTATATCTACAAGTATCAAACATGTAGAGACCATAATTTGAATATGTGTATGTAAAAATGAGTTATATTGTGTTGTGAACGAAGTAAAATTCAGAAAACAATTATAAGATATTTTATTGCTCCCTTCCTGTTTACAGAAAAGTAAATTATCTTATTTAAAAAATTGGATCGTTAGAAGAAAAAATATATATAATCAGATTTATATTATCAAATTATTTATGAAAAAAAAAAAGTTGAAAACATGCTAGACGGTTTAACTTAATCCATCCCGCCAAAATTTACTCTTTGTAACGTGTTGCTCAATGTGTCACCAACATATTTTAATTACTACAGAAGGTTTATGTAACAACTACTTATGACATACCCTCAAGAGAGTTACTTGATTTATAATTGAATTGTAAAAGGTTACACATTATAGTCACCAACTGAAAATAAAATATAGAAGATAATTTCAAAAGTCAAACCACTGAATATTCAATGGTCCAACAAAATGAAATAGAAAAAAGGGGTCTTCAAAAGATTACATTAACAAAGAAACCAAGATATGTAAGTATGTATATATAAAGTATTTGAATATGTATAGGATTAGTCCTCTTCCGGTGGTTTCTCCTCCTCAGCTGGTGGTTCCGCTTGGCCATCCTCATCCTCCCCTCCTCCTCCTTCACCTTCCTCCTCCCCGGCTGGCTCAACTACATCCTCCGGCTTTGCATTGCTCCTTCTATTTGCAGCCTCGAGGACATGAGTGTAATTTCCTTTCTCCATGAAGAGTTGAGCAAAATGATGTTTGCAATAAAGAATACCATCAAGGGCAGCATATGATGAGTGTGTAAGAGGACACCCTCCATGAGCACATTTGAAGCATGATTTGTGGTATGGTTCTCCTTCCATTGTGATCTATAATAATGCTCGTAAAAAAAAATCGAATATGATTAGAAATAAGTGCATCCAATCTTGTGCTTTAACAAAAAAAGTATATTTTATATATCGCATCATGTCACAGCTTTTGTAATTATCAATGTACGTAATTACATACATTATTTTTCAAAATTAATTTTTAAACTCGTATCATTATCAACAAGTAATTTATAATTTATAAGAAGCAGTGTACGAACCTTTTCGAGAGGGTACACAGTCTTGTTACATTGTCTACATTTATCTTGCGTACCGGTGAATATAGACGAGACTTTGCTCGGAGGCGCCTTTTCTTTTTCTTTTGCTGCAGAATTTGGATACAAAATTGAAAACAAAAGCTTTCATAGTAATGGGAAAACAAATAACACGAAATTATATTACATTAAATCTTACTTGCATGAAAATTCTTGCTGAAATTTCCAGATTCCTTGAAGAGTTGTTCGAAATGATGCCTGCAGTAAAGAACTCCATCCATTGAGGAGTAGTTGCTCATCTGCAATATAATTTATATCAAAGATGATTGTAAATAATACTATATTAAATCAACTTGATGAATTCTTGGTATATTTCTGTATTGATGAATTCTAACACCAAATTTTATCGGAAACCTACCAAAATCAAACGTTTCCTTGAGGTTAAAAAGAAAAACCAAAAGAGTCAATTGTTTGTGCAATTAAATGGGGAAAAAACAAGCGATTCGTATCACATTAAGGCAAAGAAAAGCAACAAAACAAGAAAGAAATAAATAAAAGAAGATTTAGGAAACAAACCGAGAGAGTGCCTTTGCAATGGGTGCATCTAAAGCACGCTTTATGATAAGTAACTCCATCGGCAGTCAATAAATCAACAAAATAAACAGTCTTATCGCAAGTTTTGCATTTATCCAAAGTTCCTGTGAAAGACATCTTTTTTCCTTCTTATTTTCTTCTCAATTTTTTTCTGAAAAAAATAAAAAAATCCCAACAAGAGGAAAGGCACCCAACAAAATTGGGTTGTCAAATATTTAATTAATTGAAGATCAAAGGAAAAAGAATTCCTAGTTTGTATTTGACAATATATTTCATCTTAATTTTCTGTTTTTTGTGATGGATTAGAGGCCGAGTTAGGATTGATTTAGTGAAATAATGACACCTGAGTGGAGATCCTAATAATTTTGAGGCAATAATCCGATACTCATGGAGAGAAACAAGGTGGTTTTTTCTCTACTTTTGACCTATTCCTTCAATAAAACGATAATCACATACTTTTTGATATATAATTAATTAACAAGGTGTATAAATTTTCATTGATAGAAACAAAAACTAATTAAAGACAATTAACATTAGTGAAAGCAATAATCGTGATTTCATTTTTTAACTTTACCTCACACACCCTGGATTAAGGTTTAGATTGATACATACAATAATAAGATGAAAACAATAAGAAGATGTAAATTTACGTATCATTGGCAATTTACACAAGTGAAAAGTATTATCCTAAAAAAAGTCGGTACTTATATTTGGGGGTAGGAATTAACAAAGTTGTAAACATTGAGGTGCAAAGTGAACACTTCTCATTCATGTAGTTTTGCACCACCGCTGACTACGGCCCACTAAGGGGCTGTTTGATTTCTTGTTGCCCCAGTCCAGACAGACATTTTGACTGACCTGATCCGGTCAATGTGTTTGGTAACATCTGTTTTGCAGCTTACTCGGTCCTCAGTCAGTCCATCGTGCTCTAATTCGGTCCGCTAAAAAAAAGAAGCTGACTGGAAAATGGACGCATTTTGCCCTTGCCTTGACGCTAGCTCTCCATCTTCTTCACTCGATCGAAGCTGCTTTTCCTTCCACCAAATCGGTCCTCTCCCAGCCCATCTCCTTCTCCTTGAACGGACATCACTCATCCTCTCCAATGCTTCTGTCTATCCTCTTCAGCCTCGCTGGAAACCTATGTCGCTGCCATCCTCTTCACCGCCAACCACCTCCTTCATTGTCGAACTTCCAACTCCCTAAAACATCACAGTACCTACTTACATCCCCTTCGTTCATCGTCTTCCTCTTCCATCACCAGTTAGGTATTTCGTTTTTCTTTTCATTTTTTTTTTCAATTTGTACCGATTTGGGTTGTGGAACACGATTTGGCATTATGGGTATGTTAATTTGGAATGACAATGAGGTTAACCCATCTTAACTGGGTCAATTTATTTTCAATTTCAATATACTGCTTGTTGATTTCTTCAGATTCTATCAATTTCAATGTGATTGCTATTTTTTCACACAAAATCGATTTCTTTTCAATTGCGGGAATGCTGACTCCAGATGATCGACAAGGTGCGATTTCAATATTCTCCTGCATTGAATTGCATCCAATTTCAGGTTTAATTTGTCCTCCTTCTTATTACTTCTCTTTAATCCTTTTTTTTCTGAATAAATGGTTCCGTGAAAATGCAATTGTATTACTTGTCATTTTGTTGCAGATGATCTAATGTTTTGTGAGAATGCAAACGATCACCATAGTTTTTCATTTTATGTGTTTTGAATAGAATTTAAAAAAGAACAATAGTATATATTCTACAACAAATTGACAAATAGAGTGGTTGAAATTCTGCTTCACTTGTTGTACGAAGTAAATTTCTTTCTATGACCCATGATTCCCATGTCTTGTGACAGTATAGGATTTATGAACATGAAATTACTAATATTAGTATACCTTACATTTATGAACATGAGATTACTAAAATTTGTAACTAAATCTATGATTCAATCTATAATTTTCCAGCAAGTTTTCTATAGCTTTAGTAGTTGGGTCACCAAAAGATGCATAAAGAGGGATGTTTGAGAAAAATGCTTCAAAGGCTATTTTGTATGAATTAAATCCTAAATCCATGTAAATTTTTAATAGTTTCATGTATATAATCAAAGTTGATTATGGTTGATGTTGATACTCCAAACAGAAAATAAGGTAGAATGGCAATCTTTGAGCAGGTGCAAAATGGAATCACCTCAAAGCATAATGGGGTTGATGACGATGATTATGGTAATTCACTTTATGAAGAAGAAAGGGAAAAAACAATTGGTCCACAACTTGCAGTTTAGGGGTATGTGTGGTTGCTAGTGATGATGAGATGATAAGAGCATGGGAAGAAGGAAAAAGAACAATTTTGTAATTTTTTCAATATGGACTATGTGTGTATGAAAATTGTAAAATGTTGTATTATAATGCTACTTTGCTCCAGGAAAATCAAGTTATGGTTATAAGGAATACGGCTTGAAATGGTTTTTAGTTAATTTGTATTTTATATACTATTTCGTATATTTTTTTTTGATAATTATTAATTTATTTAGCAACTTTTATCAACTGAAACATGTTATGAGGCACAAAACATAACAAAATATATTGTTAACTTAGTAATAAAAATCTTATGATAGGTTGAGGGTAATATAGTCATTTAACACAGTCAGTCAGATGCAAAATCAAACATCAAGTTTTTATCAAAAGTTAACTCAGTCATAATTTCTAATCAAAGTTTTTATCAAAAGTTAACTCAGTCATAATTTCTAATCATAATTTCTAACTCAGTTTCTAACTAGTCAGCTAACTCCCTTTCACAGTCCCATTTGACGTTAACGGACGTATTTCGTAACCGGTAAACTGATGGCCGGTGAAGTTTCCGATCATATCAACCAGAGATTCTTCGTCGCCGTCCACGTCGGCGCTGGTTACCACTCACCGGTTAACGAAAAGGCTCTCCGATCTGCAATGAAAACTGCCTGTCTCGCCGCCGCATCTGTTCTACGAACGGTCTCTCCTCTGTCTCTATATACATATCTCGATAAACATTTGTAGCTTTGCAAATGTTTAATTTTGTTATTAGTATATCGGCTTTTGAGTTTTCAATGATGCTTATTCCCTCGTTCACGAATAGGAGCTTCCGAGTTTTGGATCTATAGTTACTTTTCAACTTTAAAGTTCATATGGTTTTAAAGTTTCCGAGAATGATTTTTCACTTGATTGAACTTTATGCATAGGCGAATAATATGTGTTAAATTACAACGAATTAGATTCCATTTGTTTCTCAAATGTATTAGGTTTCCATGTCATTGAAAATCAACAGGGAGTCTTAATTTCCATGGAAGGGAGGGAATGTATGTGATTATGAAGCTTGTTAACTTACTATTACTGTTGATAATGTTGGCTACTAAATAGAAAAGAGAATTTGGCTTGACGATTTGAAGCTTAACTTAGAATCGTTGAAACAGCTGCAGATATCTATTTAAAAGATGATTCATTACTTGATTGGTTTTTGTATAGTTTTCATGCTCATTTGCTTTGTTATAGGGCTCTGGAGGATGTGTAGATGCTGTGTCAGCAGCCATTGAGACCTTGGAGGTATGATTAGACTACTTTTACTGTGTATACATATGATCAGCCTTCTCCTTTTCCAACTCTACTTTTTCTCATAGTATGATTAGACTCTCAGAGCATAAAATTCCTTTTGCTTTGTGTTACAACAATCTTAAAAAATTGTGTAAAACTCATTTCTTGAATGATGAAGTGCAGAATGATCCATGCACAAATGCTGGAAGAGGGTCGAATTTGACAGAAGATGGTGATGTTGAATGTGATGCAAGTATCATGGATGGTAGCTCTGGAGCATTTGGTGCTGTTGGAGCAGTGCCAGGTATATCCATATAATATATATTTCATTATCTCTAAAGACTTATATTTCATCTATTTCTTGAGTTTGCTTATATTATTTGAGGCTTTTTATTCTAATATATTATATATTCTACCTTTCTTTGAAGCAAATGATTACCAGGTGTAAGAAATCCCATTAAGATTGCAGCTTTGCTGGTGAAGGAGCAAATCCTGGGTTCATCACTGTTGGGTCGAATTCCTCCCATGTAATCAAACTTATTTTGCATCCAATTTATCACTGGAGCTTTACATTTTACATAAAAACTTATTATAAATATTATTATTATTATTTAATATACTCAGGTTTTTGGCTGGTGATGGTGCTCGTGTTTGGGCAAATTCCAAGGGCATTAATATTTTTGAAACCATTGAAAAGGCCAATGAGGTAATACATTAAAATTTACGAGGATTAATTTATTATCACAGTTTTTCCTAATTTAATACCTAAATATCATCGTGACCACATATTTTCTAGTGGCTTGTAACAAGAAAGGCAAAAGAACAGTGGAAGAAATATAAAGCAATGCTTGATGATGCCAAAGCTGAAATTACTTTGGTGAAATCATCATCTAGTCATCAACAGATTGACAATTCATCGGGTATGACTAATAAACAATTTTTTTTCCAAGAACATTAATTCATTTAAACTCGAGTGAACTAAATAGTGTTTGGCAAACAGTAATCAAAGAGGAAATGGAATGAAGCACTACAATAAAAGAAAAAATCATGAGCATTTTCTAATTATATCTAAAGTTTATCTTAATAAAACTCATTCCATTCCTTTGTTTACCATTCTATCAAATTCAAAATTTAATGAATTTTGTATTTATTCCACAATCAGATAAAGGAGAAGACAACATCATGGATACAGTAGGAGTTATATGTATTGATAAACAAGGAAACATAGCTTCCGGAGCTTCTAGTGGTGGCATTGCACTAAAAGTAATATTTATTTACATCTTCATTACTAACCATATTTTAGCAATTTTTTTTTTTTAATATTTAAAAAAGAAAATTCAAAATTAGGTGAGTGGGCGTGTAGGATTAGCAGCAACATACGGTTGTGGTTGTTGGGCATCTTCAAATGTTGGTTGTTGTGTTAGTGGTGCTGGTGAATGCCTGATGAAACTTTTTGCTGCTCACCAATGCTGCATATCTCCATTACTGTATGATTTACTCATTTACATTTTTATATTTTTAAAAAAATATTAAAATAGTGATTATGTATATTATTTATTGAAGATCACATGCTGGACCAGTAGCCGCATGCTCAAAAGTTTTAGAGTCTGTAATTGAACACAATAGTGATACAAGTGCTGGATTTTTGCTTGTGCAAGCTGAGGCTCCTTTGGTGGTGAGTTAAAATTTTCAAATAATTATTAATAATTTATTTTATTTTTTTGATAATTTTGAATTGATTTTGTTAGGGTCCTGGATTATCACGAGAGCTGAAAGCTGTTGAAATAGCTGCTGGGTTTACTAGTTTGTCTTTTGGAATAGGGTATTTTGGTAATTCCATGGACCACCCAAAGGTATGGAACTCTTTTGATGAAACTTTTAATAAAAATGTTAAATCGGATCATCTTTTTGTGTTCTAAAAAATGAAACTTTTGCAGGTTTCCATTTTGAGGAGTACAAAACAAGAGAACACAAGAGATATATGCCAATTCGCAGCTTTAGTTAACCTCTCCTCTTCTCCCGTTAGATATCATTGATTGGGCCTTAAATATTTTGTGTATAACTCTTGCAAAAAATATTACCCAACCTCTTTTAGATTTAAATTACTCGTGTTTATATAAATTTTGGATGTTTGATTATTTAGAGTGTTTATCCAACTTTTAATTTTATATTCTTACTCAAAATTCAGTTATACTTATACATATTCAATATTTATAAATCTTTAAGTAATGTTTTCAATCCACCAATAGTTGATACATTTATCACCAAATATCATCCACTAACAAGTAGACATGTATCATCATCATAATACATCATACACTAGCAAGTAGCCATGTATCATCATCATAATACATAATACACCCTCCAACATTTATTTAGAACGACAAGATACCATCTCTATCAAAGAAGCATCCAGAAGGACCACCATGGGGAAACAATGCAACCTTAACCGGGGTTTTAGCTCCTTCTTCAGTACTTAATATGCCATTATTATAGTTAATATCTGTCTTAACATATCCTGGACACACACAATTGATGCAAAAACTTGTGTGTTTTTTGGCCAATATCCTCGTGTAACCATTCATGGCTATTTTTGAAATCATATATGCTGACAATGTAGTGGGCCACCCTTTGCTTTCCAACAACCCCTCTTTGAAATCATTCAGATACTGATTAAGCACTTCATCTGTTTTCTCTTCTGTTAACTTCTCAACATCACTCAGTATCCCTTTAGCCCATTCATTCTCCAAATTCTGAAAATTATGTTGTTCAAGTGAACTATGAGTTTTAGCTACCAAAAACTTTTGAGCACTCTTAAGTTACATATGTACCTTTAATATTCCATAGGAAGAGGAGACATTTACAATCCTTGGTGAATCTGATAATTCTAGAAGTGGAATGAAATGTTCAACCATTCTTTTTGCTCCATAGTAGTTTGTTTCCAGACATTCTACAGCCAACTCATGAGACTCTATCACTTTCTGGTTCCATCCATATAGACCCTATATTCAAGAAAAATATCTAACATACAAGTATTCCAACCAAATTTTAAATAATAAATAAATAAATAAAACCCTTTGATATTTATAAATGATAAAATATTTTAGTTAAACGAGTTACCAAATCTTCAGTTGAAGCCCTAATAGCTTCTTCATTTCCCCAAACTCCACAAATCCCAGAATTGTTCACCTTTACATAATATCATATTATAATCCACATGAACAATAATAAGATTTATTGTTTAGAATTTTCATTTGGTAATAGCTAGGGTTTTGAATTATACCAAGATATCAAGTTTTCCGAACTTTTTTTTAACAAATTGAGCCAAGGAAGCAACACTAGCAGGATCTGTAACATCAAGCTGATGAAATATAATAAAATCAGAAAGATGAGTTCCTTCGAATTTGTTAAGAGCATCAATCCCTTTCTTTTCATCTCTAGAAGTCAAAACTACTTTCACCTCATTTGAAGCCAATTGCTTGCAAACTTCAAATCCTATCCCTTTGTTTGAGCCTGTTACCACTGCATATCTACACACACACACACAAACACACTTTACTTTTCTGCTAAAATGATTCTGATTAGGGAAGTATAATATAATTGTACTAAATTATTATGGAACAAGTTTTAAGCTATAAACGAAAAGTGAGGGCCTTAATGAAATTTATGACTCCAAACAAAACAAAGCATTTACTATGTTCGCCCTAAACAAATTTGTAAAAGGTCTTATCTGCTACACCACAACAATTAACAACTTGATAATTACATCAAGCTGAAAAAAAAAAAAAAAAAAAAAATCAAGTGCAACAAGTTTGAAGCGAAGACAAAAACGGAAAAGTTTGTCCTAATATTTAGTATAAAAAGAATATTAGGTTTGAAGTTAGTAAATGGGGATTCTAGTTATGAACAGATTGTGCTTTCCCTGTGAGTCGAAGAACAAAAAAGTTATTATATATAATGATGAATTAAATTAGATTTATGAAAAATCACTTGGTCGGAGTAATATCAGTACATGTTTTTTTCAGATTCTGCCATTTTTTGGTTGAATTTCTCAGCTGCTTTGATCGATAATGGAGGAGAGATTATGAAGACTTTGTAAGATATTATAATTGCAATACAGCCGACATAATCATAAAAAAGGAGTATGTTGTGAAACACATTTAATAGATTGACATTTCTTTCAACAGTCATAAAATAGCATCAATTTAACATAAAATGATTAAAGGCTACTTTGATGGATATCTTTCCAGGTCCAAAGTTCAAACAGATTTTTCTATCTGAATGGACCGGAAATACTGTTTGATATGCACAAAAAAATAGGTCTTTCCCAGTAAAATATGTGTTTCCAAAAAAGTTCCAAAATTATATTTTTCTGGCTGAATAAGCTTGAAAGATAATTGTGCCTTAAACTCTGCATCTTTTTTTTCTTGGATTATTAATTTCTTTTAAATATTTTTTGTAATTTTTTTATTAAATTATTACTTTTTTATTGGATTATTATATATTAATAAATATTGTTTTTAATATAATATTTATTTATTGATTGATATTATTTTATTCGATTATTAATTTCTTTTAAATAATTCTTTTTTATTTCCTTTTATGGATTAATTCTTTTTTATTGGATTATTATAAATTAATAAATATTATTTATAAATATATATATAATATTTATATATTAATAAATATTACTTTATTGGATTATTAAATTTTTTTAGTTAAATTTTATAATTCATTTTTATTAGATTAATTTTTTTTTTGGACAACACCATCATCCTACTATATTTTAAAAAATTTCATCCATCCAACCACTATCGAACAAACCGGATCAAGAAACACATGTTGAGTTTTAAAAAAAATAACTAAAAAGAATAACAATGTAACATCAACTTGAAAAACAATAAACTAAAAACAACTTAATCAATATTCTATTTGAATTTTTAAATGATTATTGTATAATTTTTATTTTAGATGATAATTTGTATGTTTTTATAATTATTCAGCAATTTCATCCACCACAGTATAAAACAGATAACACAGTCAATCAAATATACAATCAAACAACATAGTTTCTTTCCTAGTTAAAAAACCTTCCCATACAACACTTTCCCAGACAACATTTTTTCGAACAAAAACTTTCAAACAGAACCTAAGTTTTGAGACACATTTTATAGATATAGCAAATGTAAACAATATATCATATGAAAAAAAATAATAAATACCTTCTAAATATTTGATAAAAACTAGTTTATGACTTATTTAAGCTAGTTTTAGTATTGAAACTAGTTTAGTGAAGACTAATTTCGTATTACTTTTCTTCATCAGAATCAGAGTCCTCTTCTTTAACTTATGCACCTTACCACAAGGTTAATCCAGCCCTCATCACCTAATGTGGTATACAAGTCATCCTCTTCATCTGAGGCATATAGTTTACTCAATAAGTCACATTTGATGTTCAGCTCATAACAACAGTTTTGTAGAAACAACACCAAGATCCATCAAGTTCACCACCAAATGATTCTTATATTTAAGCACCAGCATGGTCAACATATCTACAAAAAAAATCCATCTACTATCAAATATAATAGCTGCATAGTCAACATCATTAGCAATAGAACAAATCCCTCCCACTAATGTTGTCTGGCTCGTAGTAATAAACTTTCGTGCACTCTTCTTACATGTAACATTGAAACCAGATCACTAACTCAGAGTAGGTGAGATCAAAAAAATCATTATCATTTATTGGATATGCAAAACCATTAACATAAGAGTAAGGGATTGCAAACAAATACCCTGTTATAGTTGAGCTCCACTATACAATATAGACATTAATGATTTGGATTTGACATTTCTGCTTCGATGCTTGTATGGTGCACAAAAAAAAAAAAAAAAAGACTAACCTTTTTATGTGCTTTGATGTTTAGATTTGTGAATCGAAAAGAATAAAGAGTGTAGCAACATAGTTTTTGGTCTGTCTTGTTTGCTTTTAAAACTTCAACTACCTCCATAGCAAGGTAGCAACTGAATTAACTACTACAAGCTACAAGGAATTGTTACTTTATGTTGCAGTGATATTTGAAAAAAGTGGTTTTGTAATTAGCATGATAATAGATAGTAACAATAATAACTAATCAACATATTATTGAACTCCAAATCCACATATTGTGACTGTTTCTTGTATGTATGTAAACTTATATTCTCTTTACTTGATTATCATACACATCTCTTCTTTAGTTGTAAAATTTTGTTGTATTCGTATTTATCACTATTTGGCATGTTCACTAGTGTGGGTTTGTGATTTGTATCTACAGAAAATTCAGGTATTCAATGTCATTACCTTAAATTTTTTATTCTAGGAAAGACAATCTATGGTTTCAAAAGCGATACATAAACTCAAGATGCGTACAAAAATGTCAAATCACATTAGAGATTTTCTTGAGAAATAAGAATTCATAGAGATAAAATAAAGCCATTTTTTATTTTCTTTTTTCTCTATGGCTAATTATTATTTGCTATTGAAGTTTAAAATTCCGATGATGGAATTGATTACTATTGGGAATCTAAACAAGCTTGTTGATGGTTAAGTGAAGCGTGCATTTGAGTTTGTAAAAAACATTAGGACCAAGATTGATTTGACAAATACTACATATGAATTTTATATGGTTGATGCTGACTATGGTAAGTGTATGGAGATGATATACGACTAAAGAATTGTTAAGTAGTAAGTTATATATTTTATTAGTACAAAGATAATTTATTATGTGTTTAGTCCAAAAAGACACATATAGTCCCAAAAAAATTCAAGAATCAAAACTCAATAGGTTTCACCAAAACATGGTAAAAATCCATAAGAAACCTTGATTCAAGAATCAAAACACAAATAAGTTTTAGTTTGGACTAACCACATAATAAATCATCCTTGTACTAATAAAGATATATAACTTACCACTTAACAATTTTTCAGTCTATCTCCATAAAGTTACCATAGTCAGCATCAACCATATAAAATCCACAGTTAATATTTGTCCAATCAATCCCTTCGGTCATAATCACTTTTACAAACTCAAATGCACACTTCACTCCACCATCAACAAGCTTCTTTAAATCCCCAACAATTATCAACTCCATCATCAAAATTTCAAACTTCAATAACAAATAATAATTAGCCATAAAAAAAGAAAAAAGAAAATAACAGAATGGTTTTACTTTACCTCCATGAAATCACTTTTCTCAAGAAAATCTCTAATGTCATTTACCATTTTTGCACGCATCTTGAGTTTACGTATCGCTTCTGCAACCAGCTTGTCTTTCCTAAATTTTGGCATGGCAACAGCCTGTAAAATGCACAATCGGCAATGACATGATGATGGTTAGTTAGGTCTTTGAGTGACTAACAATCATAATATCTGGATTTGGAGTTTGACTCACTAATGTGTTGATTAGTTATTATAGTACCATAAAAGACCTATAGCTCCATTTTTTTAGGCAAACTACACCACCATCGATTAGTTCCAAAAGTAAAGTCTATTGGGGGTGTCTTTTCTTTTGGATGTTAGATCCAAGTGAGGATGAAAGATCAAATGTGAAGTTGTTTGGCGTGAGACCGAGGATGATGATGATGATGTGGTGTCGAGGTCTATGAGGTTTAACGGTGAAATTCTTGGGGATCATAGATATTAATATTTAATATAAATTAGAGAATGAGTGTAAAGAGTAGTTTGAGAAGGGAAAAAGAGGAATTACCGCGACAGAATGTAAGGAAACAATCAGAACCCGAAACAACGTGAAAAAAAATATAGTAAGGATATTGATGAATTAGGCAAGAAATAGCAATATACTTTTGTTTATTTGTTTATTATAGCATGATGTTGTCATGTCTTTCTATTATGGCATTGTACTCTTAATTTTTTTTCTTATTAGAAGTTTAGAGCATTACAATTGGGAAAAATCCACCCAACTATAACATTGTACTTATTTTTTCTTATTTTTACTAGGGCAATTAAACTTCCAAAAATTCTACCCAACTATAACATTGTGATTCGAAAAAATTTCTTATTGGGGCATTGTAATTCAAAAAATCAACCTATTTATAACATTGTACTTTTAGTTTTTTTTTCTTATTATGATATTATACTTTCAAAAATCTACCCAATTATAGCAACGATGACATTGCTATAATTAGGTATATTATCTAAGTACAATGCTCTAATAGAAAGAAGTGAAAGTATGATCATCTAATAAAGAAATCAATGGCAGCACATTGTTATTCCTTGCAATAATGACTAAACCCTAATAAATATTTAGTATTCATAACGGGCTCACCTCTGGAAAATGTCCACAATCAGACCTAGAAAGACAACAAAGCTCCCATAAACCCAAATACAGGTTATTCAGAATGATGTAGTCAGATGATCTATCACATCCGACTGAAGAAAAAAAAAAAAAAAAAAGTGGAAAGAGAAAAAATAGTAATTAGGACATGTCAAGCAAAAAGAATACGTTTTCAACTTACATATTATGCTAACCACTCTCACATGTGTCTTCAAAACTACTTCAATTTCACGTGGACTACAAAAATAAAGCCTTTGGAGATGCATAACGAAGAGGAATTGACTCTTGTACCCTCGAAGCAGATCACAAGAATAACCGTAGTTGAGAGCTCACAACAAGCATTAACCCTGGTTAAGAAACAAAATAAAGAGGTCATAACAGTGTGTAGAAGATGATAGAAGGAAGAAAACCGCTTTCCAGTATGGCAAAATTACTAAAATCTTGAAATATTACGATAAAAAAATTAATAAAAACATGCCTCAAGAAGAAAAAGGAGGTGTTAGTATATCCCAATTTAGAAACCAACTATTTGCTGAACTAATTAGTAGCTATGTATGACAATAAACAAACCATCTGTTTCACCAAGAACAAGCAATATTCAACTATTGAACTGAAATTAATTCATCAATTTCTCCAGTTTATTGCAAGTTGTCATCACCATTATCAAATCCAACTAACAGAGAGAAAGGAAACAACCTGTGAGACTTTCAGAATTACTGAAAAAGAGATAATGTGGTCTTAAAGTATCCACCAATTGTTTGAAAGTGACGAAATCACCCTTGGACTCGAGAAAAGCATTCTATCTCTTGAAGTTGTCAAAAGGGTAGTAAATATAAATATATCAAGGAGATCTTTTCTGGCTTGACTAAAGTCAAAGCAACCAATCTACCCTCAAAATGTTGACTTGTAGATGCACATTGCAAGCCTTGAGTTGAATATATGTTACTGCTGCAGACACTATTCAATGAATTGAAATCTCTAAAATCTTGAAAGATAGATTTAAAACTGCTTCATGTAGACTGATATATCTGATGAAATAGGTTTGAAATTCAATCACTTCAGAAAATATAACCTGCAAAAAACATAACAACATATGATTGAAACTTTGATAAAACTCTATTTTAAAAATGAAAAAAAAAATGTTGAATGTTTGCCTGTTAAATATAAGTAGGAATCAAGAGAACAAGGCGCATACCTCTTCAACATATTCATCTGTAAAGGGGCAAGATTAAATGTCTGGAAATCATGGCTTTGCTAATTGTGATTCAACAAGTAATTGTCCATCATAGATAGACAATCCAAACCATACCCAACAAAAAGTAGCCAGATTCAAGTCACGTACACAGAAACATTCCTAGAAAACGAAATAGTTTTTGCATTATAATCCAAAGAAACCCAAAAAAAAATTCTACTCGGTTTGTTATTCCTTACCAATTGGAACCCCAAAAAACGCAAAACTTACACAATTAATGGACGTCTGAGTTGTTCTTCGTCGGCCGTTCCACTCTTTCATGTCGATTCCTTTGATTTTGAAGATTATTTCGATTATAGTCGTTCACTCCATCCCTTCGCCGTTCCTGTACCGAAGAAAAAAAAAGAGCAGCGACTAGGGTTAGAGGTTTTACCCTTTCCTACGGAATCGTATATTCTAGAAGTTTTTTGTTTTTTAGGTTATTATCAGTTCTAGGAACGATTAGTTAGTCCCAAATTTCGATCCCTACCGGAACCGTATGGAACCGTACTGAATTTAAAAATACGGGATGGTACTTAGTACTCCAAAATACATGAAATTCGGGAATCGGTACCGGTACGAGTATCCGTACCATTTCCGGTACCGGTACCAGTGATGTTAATTTGGTTCGGTACACGGGATTAGCTTTTGATCAAATTCGGTATTCAGGAAATCGGAAACGGGACGGGTCCGTACCGATTCCGTCCCACGTTCATCCCTAAGTCCAACAATGTTTAGTATATTGGTTTAAAATGTCTCTTATGATTTTTTTTTTTTTTTTTTTTTTTTTTTTGCATTTTAGGTGTATGTATTTGTGTTTTACCTGCTAACAAAGGGATAGACTGTATTTTAAGTCGGTTTTACCGGTTGCTTTTCATTTTTCTTTTTAAAACCTCGGGGCCCATGTTTTTCTTTGTTCAACTTTTGTTGACCACTGAACACAAAAGTTGAATAACCATGGTGATGACGAACGCCTCTTCCCTCCCGACGATTCCTTGACAACATCTTCTTACTATCTTTGTCCTCCCCCAAAATCAACGAATCAAACACAAAATTCGACTCAAACAAAACTAGATTTGCAAAATTGGAATCGAATACGGGTTATGTGAGAGTTCCACGGGGAAGGGAACCAAGAGTTGAGACTAGACGACAGTTTTTGGAGAGTTTGTCGGGACAGTAAGCACTTAATGTCACAATACCAGTCACCGGAAAGTAACTGGAGGAGGAATACGATGAAGAAGCAATCTCACGACCAACAAAGTTTTTGGAAGATGTCGTGCCTGAATCTGTCAAAAAACGTGAGCTTGGATGGTGTTGATGCCTCCGTCGTCCTCTCTGAAGCCACCTCTACCGTCGTCGACCTGATCGGCAAACCCAAAGTGATACATACCTCTCTCTCTCTCTCTCTATTTCTTTCTCTCTCTCTCTCTCTTTCTCTCTCTCTCTTTGTATGTGTTATGGATGTGTGTGTTTTATGTACTTACTTCGAATCTGAATGTTACTTGATGACTTGATGTTATTATAGCTTCAAAAATTATCCAAGGAAAAGAAACCACCTTTCTAATCAATCCATGACTTGGTTTTACAAGTGGTTAATGTTTCAGTGTTCATGAGTGATTTTCAATTTCCTTGGGGTAGAAATGAATTAGACAGTGGTTATGAACTTATGACAATATCACTTGAAAACCAATTGTAGTGATTCTAGAGTCAAAGTTAAGCAAGGGATCTGTGACAATGACTTTTGGAGGATGCGAGCAGCCAGCAACGTATGATGAGTTGGTGTCCATCGCAGAGTTGAATTGTAGCACCTGGTTTCCGGTATGTGAATTTTATTTGAGTATTTCCCTATTTTAGCCTTGGACTCGGCGAGTCATAAGGTCCGACTCGCAGAGTAGGGACGAGACTCAGGACACGTTTAAGTTGGCGACTCGGCGAGTCACCGCTGCTGGATGAAACCCTAAATTTCAAGGGTTTGCACCCTATTTAAACCCTCATTCCGCCCCAAACTCGTCCCCATTCACCCCAGAACTCCCAACATCGTTTATTCCCTTATTTCCTTGAGAGATTGAAGTGTTTTGGAGTGTTCTTGAAGATTTTGAAGAGAAAGAAGAGTAGATCAAGAAGAGGAGAAGGAGACCAGGCATCTTTGTGTCATCTCAATGTTTTCCTTGAGGTATAGCTCGTTTCCCCTCTGTTTTCAAGCTTGTAATCTCTTTTAGCTTCATAGGAGTCCTTCTTGGGCTCTTCCCCAAGCTTGTTTGTGCTTTGTGGGTTGTAATAAGTTGTTAGCCTTTAGATCTAGGCATGATTTAGTCCCTGGAGCTTGGATCTAATGCCTTTATGGGGTCATATTGCATGAAAGCCCTAGATCTACCTCTTTTGGTGCACTTTGAGCCTTAAAATCCATATTGGTGAATATCTACACGTAAAGTTGGAAACTTTACGTGTGATTTGTGTCCTAGAAGCCCAGATCTGTGAATGGCATGGACTGGAATCGAGCAAATCGGTGTATTTGATGGATGCATGGCTGCGACTCGGCGAGTCGTATATGTGACTCGACGAGTCTGGTCGCGAGTCACTGAATTGGTCCCTTCATGATGTGTCGAGTTGAGCCGTGAGTCACAGGGGGTGACTCGGTGAGTTGGGAGCTGAACTCACCCATGTTAGGACTCGGCGAGTCAATGCCTGACTCGGCGAGTCCAAGGCAATCTTCATAGATCAAGAACAGACTCGGCGAGTTGTTCATACAACTCGGCGAGTCTTAGCATATGTGTTCTTCGGATGAAGATGAACTCGACGAGTTGTTCATACAACTCGGCGAGTAGGATGAAGGAGTTGAATGTCAGTTTAGAAGATGAACTCGTCGAGTCATAGCCCAACTCGACGAGTAGAATCAGGGACCCAGGACAATAGTCTGGACAGGGACTCGGGGAGTCGGGTCAACTAAAAGTTGACTTCGAATTGACTTAGGGCTAGACCAGGGGTAAAATGGTCTTTTTACCCAAAGGACAGTTAGCAGTGTATGATTAAGTATATTGTGGGAATTACAGCCGGGGAGTTTCCGGAGCAGCAGTAGCAGTAGTAGGTGATCAATTCCCACACAGACCAGCAGCTATTTCGAGGTGAGTTTCCTTCCAGTAGTAATGGGTCTAAGGCACCAAGGCCGACCCGTATAGACGAGACGTTAGTATTAGAGTGTGGGCCGAGCCCGTATCTCTTAGTTGAGTTGATTATGACATATGACAGTATGATAGAATTGTTTACACTTGTTGTCTGTGCGATACTTGTATGATATGAGTTGGCGGTTGAGTGTGGGGTGAGGCCCGTATCTCTCCGAGAATGGAGTGTGGGCTAGGCCCGTATCTCCCAGATAGCGAAGTGTGGGCGGGGCCCGTATCTTCATGAGTGTGGGCGGGGACTGTATCTCTCAGAAAGCGAAGTGTGGGCGGGGCCCATATCTTCACGAGTGTGGGCGTGGCCCGTATCTCCTAATTGCATGTTGTTTGTTAAATGCTTGCATGGTATGGGGTATTATGGGGGAGCTCACTAAGCTTTGTGCTTACGGTTTCAGTTTTGGTTTCAGGTACCTCCTCAGCTAGGGGAAAGGAGCCGGCGCGGTAGCAGCATGTCACACACACACTCTTCGGTTTCCGCATTTACGAGCTTTTCTGGGATTGATACTCTGATATTCTGATTAGTTGTATGTTTTGGTTTTCAGACATGGTTCAGTTTATATTATGGATGATCGAATGATGTTTTAGTTATTAATATTTTCTAAAGTAACGTTTTTAAACAAAAAAAATTTTGATGTGAAAATTGGGTCGTTACAAGTTGGTATCAGAGCCCTGGTTTGAGGGATTCAGACACGCCTTCGGGAGTGTCTGAACTCAAATCGAGGGATGGAAAGATTTTCTAAAAGAAAATGTTCTCTGAAACTTAGAAAAGGGTCATGAGAAAGAGCGAAGTGTGTGACGTGCGCGACCGGCCGAGCTCAAGTAAGTATTCCCCATAGTACCCATACAAGATTATGTTATGTTTATCAGCTTTCGTAGAACCGCATGCTAGAATAGGACTAAGGATCTAGGAGTGATGCCTTATGTGCCTACTATTTGTGTTTCAGTTGTATGAGAAATTGCATGCTAGTTACGGAGTAGACAGTAAGTAGGATAGCCTGAATAGGTTATGCCTGGTAGTATGAGCTTAGCACTATATGCTAGCTCAGTTCCTGAAAGTGGATAGAGTTAGTTGAGACTGTTACCCTTGTCTGATGCTGCTTGCTTCGTGCTTCGTGGGACTCTGAATAATGGGAGTTAGCCATTAGTCGAATGCGTCACATCACATGTAACCAGGATTGGATAATCTTAGAGTGCCGAATTTGATCCTACTGCGTAGCTCTTGTTTGAGTCCAACCGTTGTAGGGACGAGTCCGGTACTCGAAGGATTATCTGAGCCTCGTCACGTGTGATGGCATTCGAGTAATGGCCAATTGGCATTATAATGAGGCCTGCAGCAGCTGAGGACTGGTTAGAGTAGAATTAGAGATCTCCCTAGGGCAAGCCTAGGATGAGTATAGCTTTGATCAGCAGTAGTGAAGGGGATCTGGTGGAGTCGAGGAATTCCTTGGAGAAGGTACGGATAGATGTGGAAGGTAGTATGGGCCCGTACTACTGAAAGCAGAGGATCCGTACCCGAACCAAGGAAGGCCAAGATGAGACCAGGGAACCTGTAAGTAGTTGAGATCCCTCAGAAAGTAGCAGTATCACTAATGATTATTATGATGTTTTGCAGAATGGTGGTACTTCGACCGAGATCGACAGATGGCCGTTCGGGAGAGGGGTCAGGTTCGGGATCAGGCTCCGAGCCGATTGATGAGAGGCTACGTGAGTTCATCACGTCGGAGATCACCAGGGGCATCCTTGAGTCGACCCTCATTCTCTTTGGGTCGATCAAGGAAGGGATCATGGAGTTGATGGAGGATCACCTACGAGCATTCAGGAGCGATTTAGTCTCTAGCCAGTCAGGATCTCGCACACTGTCCTTCAAGGACTCCAGGGGCAGTGGTGCACCGGATTTCCATGGGGTGAAGGACCCCATTGTCGCCAGGCGATGGATTGCAGATATCGAGTCCGCCCAGTTGACTACCTTCTGCCCCGAGGGGTCGAAGGTGAAGTAATAAGGAATTAATAAAAGTTGACACCACATTAATATACACTAGGTAATTAGACTATTACATTACATGCATCAATGCAACTTAAGTATCCATCAAGTATTAACCATTTATTCCTCTCTCTCCCTCTCTTCTTTAAAGATCGGCCCAAGGCCATCCTCTCACCCCAAAAATCATTTCAACTTTCATTCTCACCTCTCATTTTCTCTCAAACCCTCAATTTTTCCTCCCATCTTCCTTCTCTAAATTCGTGGGTGTGTG